CACCTCCCCGGTCCGCTAGGCCAGCCCCCCGCTTGAGTGAGGCAGGATCCTCCCCGTGCAAGCCACCCCGCACCGCCCACCTCAACTCCGCCTCGGGTTGGGGGGCCATCACAGAGGACAGTCCGGTTTACGAAACCCCACGCCTCTAGGTCCTAGGGGAGCTAAAGGCTCCCGGTTTGGTATCAGTAAAGGACAAACCGGACTGTCCCCTGTGATGGCCACCCTGCAAAACGCGCCTAGCACCCCAGCCTGCCACAGGCAAAGCGAGGGGACCGCGGCAGCGCCACGAGCAGTCTTTTTTTTTTTTTTTTTTTCTTTATCATCTTTTTTGTTATTTATCTTGCAAAGCAAGCAGAACCGCCTGCCTGCGGGGAAACCCCCCCCCATCCCATGGTTCAGCTGCGGAGCATTTGCCTCACTCAAAGACTCCCCTAGTGCAGACCCAGACCCTCGTCCCACAACACGCTGCAGTGCAGGGACAGGGGGGGCTGTGCAGAGCTTGCCCCTCACAGGTCTTCAAATGGGTTTATATCTCCACAGTCGCAGGGTTAAGCTGCAAAAGGAAAGGCCACAGAAGTTGGAAGAAGGACCGGCAAAAAGATGTGGCGTATGCAGCCTGAAGTGAAATAACGAATTCCTATCGGCTTCCAACATGCCCCGTGGACGGCGCCCGTTGGACTATGCCCATTACGCACAGCTCTTTTTTTAGACGCTATTAGCTGTGCTGTAGGGGTCAGGTGGCAGCCAGGGAGGGCTGTGTCGCTATGCATAGGCTGTGAAGTGGGGTGGGTCACCTGGGCCATGGCCTGACCAACTTTCCACATGCTAATTTAGCTAGCTATGCAGTTAAAAAAATAGCTGTACAGTTTTAACCAGAATGACAACTGCGCATTTGTGGGTTATATAAATTAACGTGCTAAAAGCTGGCCGAGTCATACCCCATCCCGCAACCTATGTTGCTATGTCTACACCTGTTGTGCTTAACCAGGATATCCCAAGATGTCAGGAGAGAAGCAGATAGGTGCAGACTCAGTCTCAGTCCCTGCCTGACCATTCCCCTGCCCTCAGTGGCTGGCCCCTCTGCAAGGAGGTCAGCACTATAACAAATAAGTTTGTTTTTGAAATGGGGTGCTGCTCAACTCACAAAAGTTGTGGGGAGGTGCCGGGAGCATAATGAGAGGTGCCTTGCCTTTAAAAAAGATTGAGAACCACTGCTCTGTACTACAGATGGTAATATAGAATAGAAATACACAAGCTGCCTTTACACAAATAACCTTTGTTTTGTTATGCTTAACAAACCCACTTCTATGCCACATCTATGCAACAAGGGGTGAAGTTACAAGTTACATTTAGACCCTGCTAAATCGGTGGACTGTTAAGCCATGTTAAAGGTAGAACATGCTTCGAGCGGTCACGTTGAGGGTTAATGCCCTTCCTTACCTGCACAGCTCTGACTTGCCACTAGGAGGGCACCTGGGTTCTAGCCCTGCTCTGGACAGGGGGGGAAGAAGGGGACAGGTGCATTTTGGGATGCCGGAGTGCTGCAAATTGCTCATTTTAGCTCTGTGGAACAGACTGAAGTTACCCTAAGACAAACTAGGTAGTACAACCAAGAGTAAACCCTCACCTGAAGTGGCATAACTTTGAGACTCAGAGGACACCATGCACAAGTTAACGAGCTTTAACATGCAGACACTCCTGTTTTGAGTGCCCTTTAGTGTGGTCTATGTGTAACCACCCAAATTTGCCACATCCAGAAATGGTGTACTCAGACACACCATGTTACTCTGGGTAGGCTGTCTCCTAAATGGGAAGCTGTATAGCTAAGTCCTCAGTGCCATGGGCTTGCTAATTAGCCCATCTCTGCTAATTAGCCAACTCAGTGTGGCACAAACACGGTATTGCCTCCAGCCTGCTCAGAGCAGCACAAACTTCTTCAGGGTGCACTGCTGCAGAGCACAGGAAAGTTGTCATGTAGAGGTGGCTTCAGTTTCCTTGTGTAAAATAGACTTTACATTCCCCTGATCATCTCACTTCCTACACTTGGTCTGGTTGCTTTCATTTCTCTCAACTGCAGGTGACCAGAACTGTACAGTGTTCCACGTGAGATTTCTTTAGGGCTTGTACAGTAGCATAATGCTTTCCTATCACTGTTGTATATACTTTGCCCGGTATATCCTAGAATTGCATTTGCCGCCTTCATGGATGAATGATGTTATTGGTTTATGGTCATCCTGTGATTGGCCAGGCATTGGAAATGCCCAGGTCCTTCTCCCCTTCAGCCTTTCCCAATGGATAAATTACCATTTTACAGCAGAAATACTTGCTATAAGTCCTTAAGTTAGTGGTTCTCAACCTTTTTAGAGTCATGGTGCCCCTCATTAGGCTCACAACACCCCTTAGAAAATGCCAGCTCTTAGCTTTCATTCATGTTTTGACTACAGAAAAATAATTGAGTAATCCTTCTGTTGCAAGAAACTCAGAAAGGCCACCGCAGAGCAGGATGTTTTTGACACTATGGATTGCTGTTTGAAATCACTGGTTTTAACCTGTGAATCCTGTATGGATGTTTGCACACCTAACTCTGTTAATATTGTATGGCAGCACCTTTAAAAGGATCTCACAGCACCCCAGGGTGCCACAGAACTCTGGTTGAGAATCACTCCCTTAAATAAATGACTTTGCATTTTGAATGATTACATTTATGTTTTTATATTAAATTTCGTCCTATTTCTATTTATCCATTCCTGAAGGCTCTTCTTCATTTCCTGTTATCCCAATCTTCTTTTTTATTGACAAGGCCTCTCAGCATTGAATCATCAACAAATTTCATTCACATACACTTATTATTTGCACTCAGGTCATTAATGGAAATACCAAGTAAGATCAGTCTCAAGAACAACTCCAAAGGATCTCCGTTCACATCTTCCCTCCAGCCTAACATTTCTCCTTCTAGCACAACAAATTGGCATTTTGTCTTTAACATGCTCTTTACTCACCTTACAGTTCTTGCACTAATTCCCATCTTCTACAGCTTATTTTATAATTTGCCATGGGCACAGTTTCAAATGCTTTAGATATTTTTAAAATAAGATACAAATATAGAAATAGGAAGATTTGAAACAAATCTCTCATGGGCTCTATTTTGGTTTGTCTTCTATTTCTGAACCCCTATGATTGGCAGTCCTGCTGTATTTTTTTAACTAGATGAGCCTTATCTGACTTTTGTCATCCTGGCTGGATACATCTCTGGTTAGTCTTTAAGTGGGTGATGCAGTCATGCCTGATTGGCAAATTCAGATGATGTCATCTGGATAGTCATTCTTCTGTTCTCTGTCAAAAAGACCACTTTCCTGCCAGCTAAATAAAGCAAAGGAATTTTAAATGCATGTAAACAAGCTGCCTCAGCTTTACAAACTTGTTACAGGCTAATAGAATTCCACAATGAGAATATGACAGACCTAGCATTTCTTTGAGATCCTGTTAAACCATATCATAATTTGGTGCTAGCGGTCTTTGGCAAATAAATATGACCTTATTTTATGTATGATTAGTGTTCCATATGCAGAAAAAAGATTATCCTTCATCTCACGCTCAGTTTTTCCCATGCAATAAAGGAACAGCTACCTAGAGTGCCTGGAATCTTCTGCTGCCTCAGATTTTAAAGCTAGCTTCTTCTTAGTCTTCTCTTTTTCTATTGATTGGAGAGGATAGGGAACGCAGATTAAGAGGAATGAGGTATATGTGAGAAGGGGAAACAGTGACAATTCCAGTGAGAGGAGTTGACTTTGCTAGAAATGTGTATTCAAGCTGGAAATAGTAGCAAAAATGACGTTCATAACTTGGATTTCATTTAATTCAAAAGTGTAGGGGGTGGGGGGAGCCAGCTGTGTCCCTTAATGAAAGTAGCTCCATATCCAGGGCCACAAGCATCATAGCTGGTGATTATGTCATGGAATCTTCTCCCTGCTCTCTTTTTGCTGAAGAATAGTACTTACAAATTTCAGCTTATGTTGACACCAAATGTATGTATCTAGCCTGTGTATTTCTGAGGGAAACCTCAAACATATAAAACAGGTGGAAACAGGAGCACTGTTGTGTGCCTGAATCTGGAATTTTGAAAACTGAATATATGGGGCAGTATAAAACATATTAAGTGTAATAGCAAAATATTTAATAGATAGCAAAGGATCTATTGCACTGCATGGTTGCATGATGTGATTTTCTGTTCAGTAAATTACAAATCTGTATTCTCAAATGAAATTAAAATACCACAGAATTTCAAGTTAACCCCTCCTGAGTTGCAAAGAATGTAGGAATCTGGCTCCAAGCTCAGATCCACCTCACTGTGGAATAGATAGTGTTAGTCAAAATACCTCACACCTTTTATTTAACCACACGTGTTCACCTGGGTCACAGGTGCCTTTTAATGAAGACCTTTTCTTTACTGAAAAGGCTTTTTGTGGCAACAAAGGAGATATTCCCTTTCCAGGGTATAGGTATCTACCTACTCTGTTCTATCAGTCTGGGACCGAGACTGCGATAATCAAGCATAGCAATCATGCAGACTTGATTTCCTCTGTTCTCCTCTCCCATATCTAACTTGGGGCCAAGTGATTCAATCACCCGTTGACAGTTCTTAGTGTTTAGTCAATTTTTCAGGCAGCAGTGTTGGCAGGAGGAGCTCTTTCA